TTACTCTCCCCCCTGGCAGACTAGACGGAATTCCGTCGAGGTTACCTTGAGCAACTTATTCAGGCGCCAGCCCCCCTCCCCCTCCCGGCAGACTAGACGGAATTCTTACTTCCGTCTAGATTGATCAACCTAGACGGAATTCCGTATAGTTTGAGTCAATCTAGACGGAAGCAAAATAAACGGACCTAACTAGACGGAATTCCGTTTAGTTGAACTAACCTAGACAGGATTTGGATCAACCTAGACGGAAATTTCCGTCTAGGTTGCTCGTTTTTCTACTAGTGTAGGATACTTTCTAAGCAAAAATATAATACATACTTTCAAATTATTTATGGATCCCACTATCCTAGACGGAATTTTCGTCTAGGACACCATCCTAGACCGTCAAATCCGTCTAATATAGTGGGCCCCGTGAGTAAAAAAAGAATCAAACTTGCACTGAGGGGCTGTTTGGTTGTATGTTTTTACCATGTAAAAGGATGGAAAGTGTAAAAAAGTGGGTCCCAATATCAGTTTTCATCACTTTTAATTGTTTGTTTGTAGTTATGAAAATAGTGTAAAGTGATTTCATGTGCTGATGTGGCTTGTAAAGTGATTTCATAAAAAAAAACATGATTTTAGAAGAAAGCTGACATTGAAATCAGGAAAAAATAATAAAAAATATTTCCAACCAATATGATCACCACTTTTTACACTTTACAAACAAACAATTAAAGTTACATTTGCAAACCAAACAAGCAATTTATGATTCCAATGGAATCAAAAACAAACAAAGAAAAGTATAAAAATGAAATTGATGAGATGGACAATAACTTTTCAAGTTGTGTCATAAATACACAACTTTACCAACAACAACCAAACAGCCCCTGAGTGCCACAGTTCTCATTTTAACCCCAAGCGCCACAATTCCCACCAAAAATTTCATTCTGGCGCTATTGAAAACTAAAAATTGAGATCCCCAAATTTTTATTTCCCACACTGTCTTTTAACTCCAGATCTCGTAACTGGGGTCGAGCGATCGATCATCGCCGATTATGGCGGAGATCTGCTCAGAACTCTTCAGATCCTCCGCATCTCCGTCCTTGTTCTGGTCACCACCGCCGCCGTCTACCTCGGCAAGCATTTTTATGACGGCGAATACCCATAGTTGGTCTTTTTCAACTCATCGACTCCCGTCACAGCCTCCTTCTCAGCCGTCTCCATCTCCCCCAACGCTAACCTCACCTTCAACATCTCCAATCTGAGCCCTCCACCTCCGCCGCTGGCGAGGTACGAGGTCGTCGATGGGAACGGGACGATGAGGACCGACTTTAAATGTCGGCGAGTTCGATCCGGATCTGTCTGAGATCGTCGGTGGAGGTGGCGGAGGAGGCGGTGTGAATGAGATGGGGGAGGACACTAGGGTTAAGGTTAAAATTGGGAGGTTTAGGGTTTGCGATGAGGGGATGAGGGAGTATATACCGTGTTTGGACAATGTGGCTACGATCAAGAAGCTGAAGTCGATGGAGAGAAGGGAGAGGTTCGAGAGGCACTGTCCTGAGAAGGATTGCTTGGTTCCGGCGCCAAAGGGTTATAAGGCACCGGACCCGTGGCCGCATAGCAGAGATGAGGTTTGATTTTAATTAGCTTGATTGAAATATTGTTTAAGTTATCAGTTTGTGCAAATTTTTGGATAGTTTTAGCTTGCTTTTTAATTAATCTATTCATTATTAGTTTAGTTATCAGTTTGTGCAAATTTTTGGATAGTTTTAGCTTGCTTTTTAATTAATCTATTCATTATTAGTTTAGATGTGAACTTTGTGCACTTTGTAGACAGTTTTAGCTTGCTTTTTAATTAATCTATTCATTATTAGTTTAGATGTGAACTTTGTGCACTTTGTAGACGCCACTGAATTATTAACAATTATATACCGCCTTCATATCATTGGCGAGGTCCAACTCCCCGTCCACCACTGCCTCCTAACCTCCCCGGCGTCCGGAAGGAGTACTTAACTCGAGTCATCATCCATCGTGACACCAAAAGTATCTCAATTTGGTATTAGTTACCTGTAAACTTTATAGGTAAAATACCTTCCTATAATGTGGAGCACACCTATTGATTGTTCTTTGCGGGACCAATGTGTTAGGTATGAACATGCTCCAAAAAGTACATAGCAGGTGATCTTCACATCATTTTTGTGAGTGACCAATACCAAATTAGACTAATTGTTGGGAGACCTAATCCTCAAAAACATATTCAATGTACATATTTAGTTAATTACTAAGTTAGTGCATGATATGAATCATCTAATGTAATTAAACATTAGTTAATTGCTTAATTGTAAATCACAGTAAATTCCACTATGGTTTGGAGGAATCTCGAAACCCCCATATGATACACAAACTACACAACACAATTCTAAGAAGGATGCAGTATGTCCAATATGATATCTAACTCAAAATGGATTCACAGTAGGAAGTGTTGGTGCTTGGTTTGCATGATGCGTTCTCTTACAACTGGTTCTGCATCAACTAAGCAAGCATATAATCAAGTTCAAAGTAATTCAACTACACTATTGCAGTGTTGTTACTCCCCCACCCATAGTTATTTTGGTGTAAAAGTAAGCATTGATACACTTGAATTGCAGTGTTGTTACACCCCCCACCTGTAGTTAATTTGGTGTAAAAGTAAGCACTAATACACTTGAGGGTTTGTTCTCCAATCGGGTCTGTCATTAATGGCTGTTAACGTTCATTTCTTCTTTTGTCACACCTTCAATCATTTAACATAAAATGCTTTCTTTCGTAATAGTTTATTATCAAATTTCTGTCCTACATTTTAGCATTTCTTTTAAATGGTGGATGGAGTTGTGCATGTATATACAAGTCAACTTTATAAGTACATCGATGGTGTGCATATCATTATGTAGTACTTGTTGCTTCCTTAATATCCCTCCTATTTTTTCTATCGTAAAATCATTCTTGATATTTTCCCCCCTGCCTACAGCAATGGAAAGAATTTTCCCTGTGGCCGATGCTACAACCTTTTTCACATATTTTCATCATATTCTTTGAGTAATTTCTGCAGGAAATATCCGAACTTTATGTCACCATCGGTTAAATCTTATGGAGCAAGTAATGACCTTACTTTGTCAATGCCAGAATATTATACTGGATGAGATTTTGATTCTTTTTAAATTCAATATCATACAATTAATAATGACTATTTTCTAGAAAGTCTTTTAATTTTGAAGTTACACTAACTTGGATAAACCTTACGGCTGTCTCCTTACAGAAATTCAGTCTTCACTTAATGCTCAATGCGGATAGAGAATTCCTTGCTCAGAAAACTGCACCACATCATGATTTTTATAATGTCAGGAAGGTTGATACTCATGTACATCACTCAACATGCATGAATCAGAAACATATTTTACGATTCATAAAGTCAAAATTGAAAAAGGAACCTAACGAGGTATGAGATTCTCTTGCTCTAAGTTATGCTAGGGTTTATGCTTCATGTAGCAAAGAGGATCTTTTCCTGGAAGTTTGCATTTACTTGTATTAACGAAATGTGTGTATGAAAATGTGTGTTTGTTTCCTGAATAGGTTGTCATTTTTAGAGATAGAACCTATTTGACTTTGAAAGAGGTCTTTGAGAACTTAGATCTGACTGGGCAATGAATTCTTCTTTAATTATTGACATCAAATTTCATTTCTAAAATAAATAAGCCTGGCAGAGTGATAGGTTGATTATATTACAGTGGTATTTCAATTTCTGGTCTACCTGAGAAGCCTTGTAAATGTAGCAGTCAATTACATTGTTCCATTATGGCACTCCAATAACAATAGTAAGGAGGCTCTAAATTCTATAAAGAGAAAGGAAATAAACATGCTCTCCTTCATGTTTTATATTTGTAAACCATTACTCTTTTTCAATAGCAAGGAGGCTCTAATTTCATTTGTGAACATATTTAACCAATTTGATAAGGATTGTCATCTAGTTTTTGTATTATTGCTATGGCATCTGCAGTATTAGATATTTCAAGTTAGTCATAAATTATACCCTATTTATTTTGTCACATCTGATTTCATGTATAAACATACTTGAGTCCACCACATTTCATACTTTTGGGTTATTTTTTAATTTTTGGTTGCAGATCAAGGATGGGTTTGATGATGGGAAGGATCTGGTTGTGACTGTGATGTCTGCTATGTGAGAGGAACAAATCTGTGCTCTGAAGGACATTGGCCCCCAAAACTAAGCTTCTCGAGCTTTTTAGTATCAAGACCATATATAGACTCCTCCTTAAGTTTGAATTTAGTATCAAAGATTATAGATATATCTCCTTTCATTCCTCTTGTAAATAAATATATAAATAGAAAATTAGTTATTATCTATGTAAACAATTTATGTATCGCTCTAGTATTTTGGTGAATGTATTATTTGCATATAATTGGATTTGATATTAGAATATAATTAGATTGTGTTGGATATGAATATGATTTGGTGTTGTGCAAATATAATTGGATTTGATATTAGAATATAATTAGATTGTGTTGGATATGAATATGATTTGGTGTTGTGCAATATTGTGCACATGTACATGTGATATTTAATTAGATTGTGTTGGATATGAATATGATTTGGTGTTGTGCAATATTGTGCACATGTACATGTGATATTTTATGTCGTGCAAAGTAGATTCTTAAAAAAAACTACTGTAGCATCCTATAGACGGAAATTCCGTCTAGGATGCTCATCCTAGACGGAAATTCCGTCTAGGATGTTTAGATGTATCCTAGATGGAAATTCTGTCTAGGATAAGTATCCTAGATGAAATTTCCGTCTAGGATAGATTTTAGACGGAATTTCGGTTTAGGATTATCCTATAGGGTTGTCTTTTTCATCTAGAACTATTCTAGAAGGTATTTTGTTCTGTCTAGGATGCATTTTCGTCTAGGATGATTTTTCTAGATGGAATTTCATCTAGAATGACGCATTCTTGATGGAAAATTACTAGACCAATATCATAGATGGAATTCTATCTAGGATAAGCATCATAGACGAAAATCTGGCTATTCTAGACGGAAAATTCCGTCTAGAATGCTTTGTTTATCAGAAAACATCAATTTATTGTTTTAATGCTTGTAAAGTGCCCAGCTTCCAATTTTCTAGGATATACTCGAAGAATAGCGTTGATGGTTGCTCATTGGCATGGATTGCTCTTTGTGACAAAACCGTTTTCTCAATATAAGTGGATCGATCAGATGCTTGAAAAGTTCCACATGCCACATGTAAATTTGATTCAACCCATTGCATCTCCTCCTCAGCCACAGAATGATGTTGTAATACTGTTAACTCTATAAGAGCATAAGATATAGATATTGTGTTTAATCTGTTGAAGCATGCCTGTACATCACTCAAGTTTACATTCCTTTTTGACTTAGCATCATCAAAATCATGTTCAATTGGCTCACATTCCATCCTTTCACTTGCATGGGCTTTTTTTGAGGAAATTTTATCAATATTTGGTTCTCCTTTTTGTGAGTTCTCAATAACAATTTCCTCTTGTTCCAATGACAAGTTTATAATGCAATTTTCTGATTGTTTGCAGCTATTCTTTTGGCTAGCCAGAAAAAAATTATCCCTCAGTTTATTGACAAAGTGCTGGATAGCTAACCAGCTCGGGCGGACTTTGGAATTTTCGAAAGGAAAAAAAAAGGATAATCGAAGGAATAGAAATAACCATGTTTCTCTGGCACTAGAAAAGGATCCAACACAAAAGCTCCCCTCAGAAACTCTTTATTACATTTCTCATAAAACCTATAAGATCGTATCATGTGTGAGAACCTGTATAATTCATTTACAGGAATCACTACTTCACCTGCAAGACCGCTCCTGTTCTTGAAAAGGCCTTTGAATCCTTCAACTCTACTTTTTTTTTGGTCAATGAAAAGAGTATATTTCATTTACCAAGTGAAGAGTTTATGTACATCAAAGAACTCATTTACATGAGAAAACTATATAGCTCCTGTGAGTATACACAGAGAACACACAACTAAACTACTGTAACAAGAATCAAAACATCCTATAGAGATAAACTCCATTCTTTGAACTCAGCCGATAGGGAGCTGCTATTTAGGATGACAGTCAAAACCTCAATTTTGATGCTCCTGATCAGAAGAGCTGCAGTATGAACTTCCTTCTTGAAAATTCTGCTGTTTCGCTCCTTCCATATATAATACACTGTAGCTGCAAGTGCCATTCTTTTGGTTCTTTGCCTAAAACCTTTTCCTTTTAATCTGCAATTATACCAATCCATCAGCAGGTTCCATTCACATGTTCTCCATTTGTAATTGAGCCAATCCATAACCCCATTCCAGACCTCTCTTGAGTAATTACATCCAAAGAAGAGGTGATCTCGATTCTCTGTTTCAGCTCCTGAACATAAGCTTCAACTGTTAATTTGAATAATTCCTCTCTTTATCAACTTGTCCTTTGTAAGAAGCCTATTTTGGACTGCAAGCCACAACACAAAAGAGTGCTTTGGGTAGTTTAGTTTCTCCCACACAGTGCCATGCCATTGTACTTTGGTTGTTATCGGACATAGGCATTTATATAAACTAGAGAGCTGAACTTTTGGAGCTTTGTAACAAGAACTGATTAACAGTTTCAGGTTTTCAGCACCTCCATACAGATTTAACATCTTATCCCTGACTTTTAAAAGCTGTTTCCACATCCAAGAGTCTCCATTTTTCACCTCAACCTGCCAGATATCTCTGTGCTTTAAGTAGGTTTCATGAACCCATTTGATCCACAAAGACTCTTTGTTAATATGAATATACCAAAGAGTTCTTAAGGCAGATGCATTATTCCAAATTACTGCTGAAAAAATCCCCAGTCCACCAAACATCTTTCCAAGACAGATTTTATCCCAAGATACTAGTGATGTTTTGGAGGCATGATCATTCTTACTCCACATAAAATTTCTACTCAGTTCATCAATCTTCTGGAGGACTCTTATTGGGAGGACATAACTGGAAGTCCAGAAAATTTGAATTCCAAGAATGACACTTTTAATAATTTGCAATCTACCCGCATAAGATAGGTTCCTGTGCTTTGACCATGCTTGAAATTGATTTGTTATTTTTGAGAATAAAGGACTGCAGTCAACATATGATAGCCTCTTGCTAATTAGAGGAACCCCTAGGTATTTGATTGGAAATGTACCTTCAGAGAATCTCAGCTGATCATGAATGGAGTTTCTGACTGAATTTTCCACCCCCCCCATAAAAGATAGAACATTTATCTGGATTAGCTTCTAAACCAGAGGTTGCACTGAATTTTGAGAGACACTGATGAAGTCTGAGCACTGAATACAGGTCCCCTTTGCTGAATAGGAGAAGGTCATCTGCAAAGATCAGGTGACTGATCTTAAATTTTCCACACTTAGGGTGGAATCTGAATTTTCTGTCTTGATTCAACTGGTTAAGACTTCTAGAGAGATATTCCATGCTAAGGATAAACAAGTATGGAGACAATGGGTCTCCTTGTCTTAATCCCCTTTCCCCTTTAAAATATCCATGGAGAGAGCCATTTAGAGAGATGGAGTATTTCGGAGAGGTAATACAAACCATAATCCATTTAATCATGCTGCTAGGAAAGCCCAGGCCAGATAGCATCTCTTCAATAAAACTCCAGCTGATTGTGTCAAATGCCTTCCTTATATCAATATTTAACATGATTCTTGGTGATATATGTTTCCTCCCATAGTTCTTTGTGAGTTCATGAGCTAGCATGATATTATTTGTAATATTCCTCCCTTTAACAAAGGCACTTTGAGCCTCACTTATAAGATATCCCATAACAGATTGGATTCTGTTTGCAATGATTTTGGAGATAAATTTGTAGAGACAATTACAGCAAGATATAGGCCTGAAATCAAAAGGATTTTTGGGACAAATTTCCTTTGGAATGAGTGATATTGAAGTAGAATTAATAGCACCCAAAAGATTTCCTGTCCTGAAAAAGTCTTCAATGGCCATTGTAACTTCTTCACCAATTATTGCCCATGAAGTTTTGTAAAAAGAGGCACTAAATCCATCTGGACCTGGAGCTTTGTTGTCATTGATTGAGAAGACCGCATTCCTAATTTCCTCTTTAGAAATTGGAGCTGACAGTTTTCTAGCTTGAATTGCATCCAGACAGGGGCCATCCTTAATGATATTAATATCAGGTTTGTCAGTTGGCATAGCAGTCCCCATGAGATTTTTATAAAAAGATATCAATTCATTTACAATCCCATCCATATCTGTGATTCTGACACCCAGATTGTTGTAAAGAACTGTAACCCTGTTGTGATGTTTATTTGCATTAACAATAGAATGGAAGAGGCTAGTGGATCTATCTCCTTGAAGACTCCATGCTATTCTTGCTTTCTGATGGTAGAAAGACATCTCACAGACCACCAGCTTATTATATGAAGAGATAAGATTTTTTACCTGGATGATATAGCTGGAGTTTAAGGGATCTTCCTGTAATTTCTTTTGAATGTCCTCTAAAGCAAGTTTTGCTTTTTGAACCTGTATGCTGATATTTGAAAAATGATTCCTATTGAGATCCTTAAAAGCTTCTTTCAACTGCTTGAGTTTTTTATTAACTGAAAACATGTTATGCCCCTCAATGTGCTTTTGCCATATAGCTGAAACTGTGGGAAGGAATTTCTCATGCTTTGTCCACATTTTGAAGAATTTAAAAGGCTTCTTTCCTCTAGCTTCCTCATCATATATAGATACTAGAGCAGGAGAATGGTCTGAGAAGTTTGGAAGCAAAAACTCCACATGACTAGAGTTATAATTGTGGATCCATGTGTCATTGACCAGTGCCCTATCTAATCTACTCCAAACCTTGGTATTAGTGTCTTGTTTGTTTTTCCAGGTGTAGAAGCATCCTGTGGTTTTTAAATGAGAGAGCTGACAACCATCAATGAAAGAACTGAAGTCAACAGTGTCATTATCAGTGAGACTAGCACCTCCAAGTTTTTCTTCATTTGAGATCATAGCATTAAAATCACCACATAAAAGCCAAGGAGCATTCCCAATAGATTGATGAAGTGAGGATAGATCGGTCCATAGATTTTTCCTAGCTTCCAGATGATTAAAACCATATATTGATGAAATTATGCAATCAACTCTTCCATCTTTAGATTTAACAATACATGTAATGTGCTGAGGAGAGGATTGTGATACCTGGATGTCCAAGACATTTGGATCCCACAATAGTAAGATTCTGGCAGTTCCAGTGTAATTCACATTAGAAATCCATTCCCAGTTTCCAGCAATTTTCCTTGTAATACTAGATAATTTTTCATCCTTCAATTCTGTTTCCAAGAGAGCAATAAAAGAAATGTGATATTGTACAAGATGTTGTTTGACTAAAAGTTGCTTAGGGGACCTATTTAGTCCCCTAACATTCCAAAAGATCATATTCAT